AAAAGAAATATAGTATATCAGCAAAGTCGGCTAGTTAAAACCGCTACGCAACCGCGTCCCTTTGAGCCATTCCAAATGCGTCCAAGCGTTAGAAGGTTGAGTTAGTAGTTGGTCACACTTTTAGCTCAAATAGATGAATATAATATGGATTTCTTAACATTTTGCTCAACCGGAAACCCCGAGAGAGCGATCCAAAAATTGTCACTAACGCATTTCGAAAAATGGTCAGAGCACTCAATTACCTTTAGCAATTGGGTATTAACCAACGAATCAGTGGGACTGTGACGCCTTCTATTTTGCCTCTCCCGACTCGCGCCGGTTTACGCGTTACGCTGTTTCGGAACAGTGGAACTTTGCTGTGGCTGAGTTTCAGAGAAAAAATTTTAATTTTTTTGTGCTTTTTTGTCGAATCGAATTTTTTTAAAATAAGATCATCGCCTTATTTTTCGAAGCTTGATGATACAAATGAGCCAAAATCATTGATTTTCCCCTGATTTAATATGAAAAGGGCAAAAACTGGATTTCATATCCGTTTTTTTGCTTTAAAATAGCCAAATCTTCCAAAATCCTTTCAAAAATGAAATTTACAGCTTTGAATATTCAGACATAGTGGGTCAAGGCTTGAAAATCTTCAAAAAAAGGCATTTTTTTGGATTTTTTTAAATTCGATAAAAAAATTACAGTTCATGGATTTTTTACAAGTACAGTTCCAAGCTTCAAAATAAATATAGATAATTTTTTTCTCTGTAGGGGGAGGGAGGGGGCTTTGTTAAAGGAACCCACGGGTCCAGATTCAAATTTTCAACTTTTTTTGTTTTGCCTTTTTCCCAAAAGAAAGATCTATCGTTTTTTTCACAAACGCATAACTCTTCAAACTAGAGTTCTCAAAACCAAACGTTCGAACGAACGTTCGACCAAACATTTTCGAACAAATGTTGAAACCAAACTTTTGGTTCAAGTTTGCTTTTGAACGTTCAACCAAAATGAACGTTCATTTTTCCGTTCGTAAAAAGTTCGTTCAAAAAAATGAACGTTCATTTTTTTCATTTTCAGAAAGTTCGTTCAAAAAAATGAACGTTCATTTTTTTCATTTTAAAAAGTTCGTTCAAAAAAATGAACGTTCATTTTTTTCATTTTCCAAAAAGTTCGTTCAAAAAAATGAACGTTCATTTTTTTCATTTTCAGAAAAGTTCGTTCAAAAAAATGAACGTTCATTTTTCATTTTCAAAAAGTTCGTTCAAAAAAATGAACGTTCATTTTTTTCATTTTCAAAAAGTTCGTTCAAAAAAAATGAACGTTCATTTTTTTCATTTTTCAAAAAAAGTTCGTTCAAAAAAATGAACGTTCATTTTTTTCCATTTTCAAAAAAGTTCGTTCAAAAAATGAACGTTCATTTTCCATTTCAAAACAGTTCGTTCAAAAAATGAACGTTCATTTTCCATTTCCAAAAAGTTCGTTCAAAAAATGAACGTTCATTTTCCATTTCAAAACAGTTCGTTCAAAAAACGAACGTCCGTTTTTTTATGTGAAAAGCAAACGTTCATTATTATAAGAAAACGATTTTCGAACTTTTTGGTTGAACGTTTGAAAATGATATATCCTAAACTATCGAAAAATGAAAAAGTTCATTTTTTTCAAACGGTCATTTTTTGAACGTTCGGTTTTGAGAACTCTACTTCAAACGCTTTCCATGTTGATGTCAGCTTCATCTTCAGAAAAAAAAAAAGCCTCGAGGCAAAAACAATTTACGACGGCGCCAAGTTTCATCTGCGCGTAGGTCGCCGGGGCAAACATGCCAAAACATTCAAAAGTCGAGATGAGAGAAACTTTTCAGTCACTTGAGGGACTACTTGGCCAGGTAAAAATGTGAAAAATAAATCAGCTTGAGAAAAAGTGTTCAATATTCGATCAAACGTCAAGAAAAGCTTGATAATTTATTTTGAATCCAAAATATCAGATCCGATCTTAGCACGCATTAGATGCCGAAAAATCGATGAAACCCGTTCTGATAACTACAAAAAAAAGGAGTCTAATTTTAATACTGAGGATCAGCAAACAGCCAGAACATTCAGAAGCCGAGAATAGAGAATTATTCAGTTGCTTGAGAGACCACTTGGCAGGAAGAAAATGATTTGAAAAAGATCTCTGTTTGAAAAAGATGTCTCCATCTTCTGCCGTTAATTTAGGTACTAAAAAGAGATTTTCCAGCTTATCAGAGCGCCGAAATTTGTCTGAAAGGCGGAAATTTGAAAGCTTTAGTGATCTGAAATAAAATGGATCTCGATAAACCTTTTTAGAAAAATAATTATTCTTTTCTAGAAGCCACCAGAAACACCTTGACGCTTAAGGCTTTCATCTTCATACTATTCCGCGGAAACCGTAACAAGTCCGGCCACAACTCTTGTGATCAAAACTTGACTAAAATGCAAGTTCTGAGCTTTTTTGTGTGGTCTTTTTATAGAGACCGCAGAGCCACGCCCCTTTTTGCGATGGTGAAATGCACTGGTTTTTTAGATTTCGTGTTTGATGTTTTCGTAAAAGCGCAATACTGAATCAAACACAGAGAAATTTGGTGGAAACATAGAGAAAACTTTCCTCTTTAATCTGATATACTTTTCTCCCGATTTTCGTAGCGTTTTAGCGGAATGTCGTACAAAAAACCAAAACTACTTTTTTTCTTCGGGTTTTTAACCTAGTTCCATGTCGTTGGCGCCTTTTTTTATTATCGAATCTCGATTCTTAAGTGAAAAAAACAAATCTTGTAAGACAAAAAAATTAAAATTTTTTTACGGTGCCTAATCTTCGTGAGGCCGCGCAAAGTTGAAAATGTTGTACTCGCTTACGAGAGCGTGTAAGTAAAAAAATGTTTATTTTTAACTTGTGGATTAAATTGTAACTAAAATTTTATTAATATAAAACTTATTCCGAAAAACTTTGTTTTTCTGAGAAAAAAATAGACAGTGAAAATTTAGAAATTCATTTTAACATGGTCAGATGTCGTTGGCGCCTTTTTTATTTCTTAAATATCAGCGTATCTCGATTTTCATTCAATTAAAAAAATAAAATAAAAATTTTAGCGGTGCCTAAAAGTTTAATTATTGTTAACTTGAAGCCAACGTTTAAAATAACAAAAAACACCCAAAACGGAAGCATTTTGAACTGAATCTCTATGAATAAATTATTTTTAGGTGGTCCGAACACACGTGACTAATAATTGTTCAACTATCATAACTTTTTTTTAAACAAGATAGTCGGTAGATGCTGTACTTTGAGGGGAAGTGGTGTATAGCGCGAACGCCTCCTATCTCCAAGGGATGGACGTAGAGCAGCGCAAGTGCGCTTGCATACAGTTTTGATATCGCGAGTTCGATCCTCGCAGCGGCCATTTTTTTTATTTTTCATGAAAAAATAGCTTTTCTCTTCAAACTTGTGGTTTTATACTGTTTTAGTGACTTATTATGACTTTGAAAACCGGAATAAACTACTAAAAAATTTAAATCCGATATGAAAACACAATGAACGACCAAAAGTGTAAAATCTAAACTTTCAGTACTAAATTTCGCGACTTTTTTCACTACTGTTTTGACCATAACTTTTTTTTTCTCAACCTTTTTCGAAAAACTAAACTGTTTTGAATAGTAAATTAGAGCAGCTAACCAACCATAGTAATATTGAAGTTCGAAAAATTTTTTGAAAATTCGTCTGCGGTCCCTATCTTTTTGTTGAAAAATTGAAAGGATCTTGAGAGAACTTTATGGAAAAATCAGTGATTTTCTTAAAAAGCAGCTTGACGGTTCATTTTTATAATATTACTCGAAAACCGTTAAAGGCCCTGCCACAACTCGATGAAGACTTGTAAAACCCTATAGTTCCGTCCAGAAGCCGTCAAGAATACCTTGAGGCTTAAAGCTTTCATTGTCCCAGTCCTCTGCGGAAACCGTCCCAAATCTGGTCACAACTCGATGGAGACTTGTAAAACTCAGTAGTTTCCTCCAGAAGCCGTAAAAAGCACTTTGAAGCTAGAAACCTTATTTTTCATACTCCTGCGCGGAAACCGTCCACAGAGGAATCGAGAAGGTACCATAATGGGTCCACAAAGGTACCTCCCAAAATGGATCGTGAAGATACCATAATGTCCATCGTGAGACCCCCGAAATACCTTTTAGCTATATCTGAGCCATTTTGGAGCTACTTCAGAGTCTCTCTCAAGTCCCTCTAATTTTGCTTAAAATCCTCGGAGGTGTCTTCGAGGTACCATCGTGAGACTTCAGAGCCTGCAATATACCTCAGAGGGTCTCGCGATACCCTTTCTCGATTCGCCTATGGAAACCGTCCCAAGTCTGACCAGTCTTGAGTAACATGAAGAACTTTACAGAACTCAATAGTTTACTCCAGAAGCCATCAAGTACATCTTGAAGCTAGCAAGCTTCATTTTCCTAGTCCTATACAGAAACCGTCCCAATTCCGGCCCCAACTCGAGTGATATAAATTTGGTTTTGATATTTTAAAATTTGTCCGGCCACAACTCGAGTAATGTGACATCTTCACGGTAAACAGCCGATGAAGCAGCCTCAATTTACGATGAAAGAAGAACGGCAAAAAGAAGAAAATGTGACGCTTCATACATAGTAGCCGATTATTATTTCTTGTTTTGCAGATTTACTTGGCCAAGTCGAAAACACTCGACGTTTTCTGTTGCTTTTGGTAAATGCGAGGAAAAAACCTACATTTTCCTCTTACTCAAATAACAAACCGTGTTATCAATGAATTGGCGATTAGATGAGTTAGTTACAAGGCAAAAAAATAAAAAGAGATTAAAATCGAGAAAGGGACCGAAAATTTGTTCAAAACTGCGAAGAGTATCACTCTAGCTTTTTTTGAATCATTAGAAAAAAATTGAAAACTTTAATTAAAAAAACAAATAATAGATTTTTAAAACTCAATATTTTAAAAAAATTCCAGGTACTGGAAAATATTGACAAAAATCCAATACATAGAACTCAATTTCTACGATGACATTCGTCTACTACAATCTCCAGAAAAGCGTGATGTTCCATGTGCCGTTCTTGATCAACGCCAGTTTCGTGAACCGTCCACCGACACTTCAATCATTCCCTGATTCAGCATGGAACCTCTCTGTAGTCTGAATAAAATTCTGTGCTATTTAATAAATTGAAAAGAAACCAAGATATCTTCCTGATCTTTTTTTGCATCTCACGACTTTGTACCGCTTGAGTCCTGTAAATTAGACAAGGTCCTATCCGGATATCAGTGGTAATGGATAACAGTGAAACTATCTATACATTTTTGAGACGTCTGTTGATAAAGAAGCCGTAAAATATCTGAATACCTTCGGTCGTGGCAGGGATCGAACTTGTGACCCTGTGGACCGTAGGCAAACGCAAAATCAGTTGCGCTATAGGCTACAAAACAGCCTTTCACTTCAGCTCCATAAAAAAGCCTGTTTCCCGGCTTTCCGTTTTTTCCGGAGTCCTCGACATGTAAGTAATTTTCCGACGCCTTTCGGGACTGGCTCGGACATTTAAGAAAGTTTCCGGTGTATTAACCGGGTCCGTTACTACTTGGATTTTTTGGTATGAAGACTCTAGTAATACATATGTATATCTTTAGGTTATGAAGCTGTATCCATCCACACTACTTAAACACCTTGGTCTGCTCCCGACGGAGATCGAACTTGTGACCCTTTGGACCATAGGCAGGCACGCAACCTGTTGCGCTACGGTGCGCCCGATAAAAGTGATAATCAGTGGACTGGCTCACATATCCGTCTTTGAAGTATGAAGTAGTATTCATCCACATTACCTAAAAACCTTGGTCGGCTCCCGACGGGATCGAACTTGTGACCTTTTGGACCATAGGCAGGCACGCAACCTTCTGCGCCTGATATCAGCGAAAACAATAGCTCTGGCTCCATTGAAATATGCGTCCTTGGCTTCAGAAGCCAACCTGTTGCGCTACAAAAAGCTTGATATCAGCGATAACCAATTACCTGGCTCTAGTGTTATGTCTGTCCTTGGATTATGAAACCATTTATTCCCACTACAAACATTTCTCAAAGTCCTTGGTTGGGATCGAACTTGTGACTCTTTGAACCGTAGACCGGCACACAACCTGTTTCTCTACGGCGCTCTCGATATAAGTGATAATCAGTGGACTGTCTCTGATCACATATCTCTTCTTGTGGGTTGGGGACTATAAAGCCATGGTTTCCTACCACCAAAATTTCTAAAACCCCTCGCTTATGTCGTGGCCGGGATCGAACTTGTGACCTTTTGGACCGTAGAGAGGAGTACAACCTGCTGCGCTACGGCACGCAAAATATCAGTGATAATCAGTCGACTGTCTCTGATCACATAATTCTTCTTGTGGGATGAGGATTATAAAACCCTAGTTTCCTACTACCAACATTTGGGGATCCAACTTGTGACCCTATGGACCATAGACCGACACACAGCTTGTTGCGCTACGGCGCTCCCGGTATCAGTAATAATGAGGGAACTGGTTCTGATCACATAATTCTTCTTGTGGGCTGAGGACTATGAAGCCATAATTTCCATTACCAACATTTTTTAAACCTCTTATATAACTTCTCTATGAGTTCCAAAATCTACAAATCTTCTTTCACATCTCCAAAAAACCCTGATCCCTTTATTTTCCTTTCCCGTCATCCGTTAAATCAAAGTCTAATCGGAGGGCTTCCTGAGTCTGAGCAAAGTCTAATTTGTCAGAACAATAGCCCATTAATCCTCTCTTATGTCACATCCATGTATGGGAACAAATATAAAATGTGAGGGCGCGAAAAAAAAGAAAACAGCCGCGGCGGCCGCACTTTGCCCTCGACACACAATGTCTGCTCTGCTGCACTTTCCTACTGTAACCGGCGCATTTTTTTTTAGTCTTTTGCTGCTTGTTTTTCAGTATAAATTCCGTTTTTAGCTAATTTCGGGGTTTTTCTGTTTGCACTTTAGGTAGGAAATTAACCGTAGGATGAAATTAATTTCAAGAGAAGCCTGAAATGATGGAAAAAGTCATGAAAAACGGAAAAAATCGTCTCAAAAACACTTTTTTTTTCGAGAAAAACAAAGATTGGATACTGTAGAAGTTACGGTAACTTTAACTTTTCAGACAATGAGCTTTAGTTCTAATAAATATGAATGAACCGGCTTTTTCGTCTTTTGCTGCTTGTTTTTCACTACAAATTCCGTTTTTAGCTTATTTCGGGTTTTTTTCTGTCCGCACTTTAAAGATTAAAAACAAAAATTACCCTTAGAATATATTTAATTGCAAGGAAGCCTAAAATGAGAAAAAAAAATCATGAAAAATGGCAAAAATCGTCTTAAAAACCCCTAAAAATTATCGAGATTTTTTTGAAAAATTCTTGGTTACTGTAGAAGTTACGGTAATTTACAGATTCTTTAAAACATCAAATTTATAACCTAAAAAAATTTTTTTGACCGTCAAAAAAACCAAAAAAACATTCAAATTGAGATTTTCGCGATATCTTATAAGAAAATCAGGCTTTTTTTCGATTTTTTTAAAAAAATCAGAAAAAAATAAAAAATTTTTCCAAACCTACAAGCTTGAAAGTTTCATTTATTTTTTTCGCCAAAGCCGTTAAAAAAATTGATTTTTTTGAATTTTTTTCTAGGAAGCTCGTTTGAAAATTCAACGGAAGGCTTTCTGAAAATTACTGATTTTTCTCAAAAATAATTCCAGGAAAATGTCTTCATTTTTATTTTTTCTATCAAGCCTGACTCCAAACGTCAAATCCGGAGACTCTTAAGCCCAAAACCTCGAGACCGATTATAAATAATCAGACGCTTCGAGAAAGAAAGGGAAAAAGTCCCAGGAAAGGGCATTCGAGCCGGATTTTTTTTTTCTTTCTTTCTCCGAAAACATGCAAAGTTTGCCCTGATGAAATGCCCTTCGTGTTGCCGACACAAAATATGTTATTTGACGGGGATATTTTCGGGCTCTCAATAATATACAATACTCGGGAAAACATGCTCGATTCTTGGAAAAAGGAAAGGTCTTCAGAAGAAGGAAGTACTGTAGCTAGGAAATTGGAGCTTTGAGAGGAATTTTGATGATTTTTAGAGAATACTCGGGAAATTATGCTGAGTTTTTGGAATGGGAAAGGTCTTGAGAAGAATTTCAGAGTACTGTAGATAGGAAATAAGATAGCGAAATCCTTTCAGGGGAATTTTGAAGAGAATACTCGGAAAAAAAGGTCTTGAGAAGAAGGAAATCTTAGGAGTACTGTAGCTAGGAAGTTGGAGCTTTTGAGTTCCTTTCAGAAGAATTTTGATGTTTTTTCAGAAAACACTCGGGAAAACATGCTGGAAAAGGTCTTGAGAAGAATTTTGGAGTACTGTAGCTAGGAAGTAAGATTTAAGGTTCCTTTCAGGGAGATTTTGAAGATTTACGAGAGAAGACTACAGAAAAAGACACAAACTCGAAAAAAATTCTGCTTTCTTGGAAAAAAAAGGTCTTGAGAAGAAGGAAGTACTGTAGCTAGGAAGTTGGAGCTTTTGAGTCCCTTTCGGAGGGATTTTGATGATTTTTCATGAGAGACTAAAAAAAAATAAGTCACTGTATAACTTTCTTCTTTTCACACACTATGTATTCGCTTCAGGACCACTTTCTCGAAAAGTATAATAAATTCTGCGCACTTGGCTTCAAAAAAAATCTTAGGTTGAAAAAATTAATCAGAATACAAGACCCTCCGACTGTCTCTACATTATCCGCAATAAATGAAAATTCACTATATAAACCTTTTTTCGTTAGAAAGCACTTTTTTATCAGTAAATATGCTCCGAGGTTAATCAGAAACTCGATCCGATCCTAGGGATCACTTAAGAGCGTTGACGCCCCTAAAGTGGTCCCTGAAAATGCACGCACACATCCGACTTGCGTCCGGTTTGCATTTCCAAAGACCGAGACTTTTTGACGGGTTTTCAAAATTCAAAAATTTAGTTTTTCGAAAAAAATTCTTCAAGAATAATCAGAATAATTTGGCAAAATTTCAAATTCGCGCGTAAAAAGACGTATCGTTGTAGGACCAAATTTTTTTCTACCGGCTCCTAGAATTCCAATTTTGAGCAAATAATTCGTTAATTTGAAATCACTCGAATAATTTTTTTAACAGAATATCTCAAATCCAAAAAAACATTTCGATGCTCCTACACACACATTCGCTACGGTACTCTCTAAAAACCGAGCATTTTCCAATTAATTTTCGTTGTTATTTCAAAAAAGCGCACATTTTCAATTGGAACCCATGGCCAAAATCCATCTCTCAATATATATCTATCCATTATTCGAAACGACAAAAACAAACGACTAATTTACGCGGATGTCAAAGTCAAATTAACATTTTTGTCTGTTCCGAGTGAAAACAATACGAATTCTTTTTCGGCCTTGTTTTGACAAAATACAACGTTTTTCTCGGGGCGTTTGAATTCCAATTAAAGGACCATTGCAAAGAAAAAAAACGACGTTTGTTTTGGCAAGTGTAATTTTCGCAAATTTTCAACCCGACCCATTTTACTAATTTCCTCTCGGCATTTTTTCAAAATTTTCCTTGGGGATCGAAAAAAAAAAAACTAACTTCAGTCGTCCAAATTGGCCGTTTCGAGCTTGTCCTGACATTTTTTTCTAAATCATAATAATTCCTCAAAAAAATAGAGAAAAAAATTAATTACACTTAAAAAAATTCGCTGAAATTCTCTATGTATTTCATTCGGAGCGAGAACGAATCCTGCAAAACTGACAAAAATAAATCCGAAGAAAAAAATTATAACTTCAAGACATTTCGATGCCAACCGGGAAAAAATTGCAAGAGAAAAAAGTGTCAAAAACCCAATTTTTTTTCCAATTTCCAGGTCGAATTCAAGCAAACAGGATAAAAGATAACAGAATTACAAAGACATTATTTAAAAAAATTGTGGACATCAAATTTTTGAAGCGAAAAAAATTACAGAAACAAAGAACGAAGAGCTTTATTTTGTGTTTGAATCAAGAAAAAAAGGTTTTTGAAAGTTTTCTCTGATGTTCAGAAGCCGATAATGAAAACGCGACCAATTCAAATTTTTTTATTCGAAAACACCAAAAGAAAAGCTGGAAGACGACAGCGGAAACAGCAAAAAAAAAACCAAAAAAAAAAAATTTTGTCTGCGCGTGGCCCACGCGTTTTGGCCGCAATCATCTGACACTGCACAGAAATGAAGAGTACCGTAACTTCGAAATCGAAAAAAATGTTCATGATCATGGCTCAAAGATTTGATCAAACAATTTAACTTTTTAAGACGGCTTTTCAAAAATATACTGAAAATGAGCTGATTCATTTTTTTACCACTGAAATTTTTTTGAATAAATTATCCCAGTCAACTTAGAAAATATTTGGAAATATCAAATTTCAAGAGATTTTTCAAAGTTTCCAAAGAGCGATTAAATAAGAGTTCAACGTTTAAAACATTTTCGAGTTTTTCTAAACTTTCAAAAAATAGAAAACTGAAAGAAAAGCGTAAACTCGAAGATGAAAAGCTTCATTTCACACCAAACCGACACCAGCGCCAGTCGCTTGTCATTTGACGTAGTTTCCTACAATTTCTACAGTAATCTTCATACCGTAACCTACAGAAAGATGTCCGTATCATCAGTATCGTCGAGCTCACAAACGAGCGCCGTTTCCGAAGAAGAATGGAGCAGCATCGGCGCCGAGTTGCTCACAGTAAGTTTATAGTTTGCTCACGATGACGTCATTCAAAAAGGCTTTGTGGCTGTCTCGCTTTCTGATTCGTTCATTTGGGGCAGAGCTTGAGCGATGACTTGAATTTCAAATACTGAAAAGACTATATAAAAGTGGTTATAGTGGTCACTTTAGTGTCCTCTCCGAGAAGCCCTTGAGGAGACTCTTAAGTGGTTTTTTAGGCTTCCATGTACTTTAGTCTGCTCAGATTTTCAATTTTGAAAAAAATGACGTCATTCGAAAAGGCTCTGTGGCTGTCTCGCTCTCTGATTGGTTAATCACGTCATTAGGGGCGGAGCTTGAGCGACGAGTTGGCATTCAAAATGTGAACGAGGTCAATTAGAATGACGTCGTTCGAAAACGCTCTGTGGCTGGCTCGCTCTCTGATTGGTTAATCACGTCATTAGGGGCGGAGCTTGAGCGATGGCTTGAATTTCAAATACTGAACAGACTATACAGAAGTTTTCATAGTGGCCGCTTAAGTGTCCTCTCCGAGAAGCCCTTGAGGAGACTCTTAAGTGGTTTTTTAGGCTTCCATGTACTTTAGTCTGCTCAGATTTTCAATTTTGAAAGAAATGACGTCATTCGAAAAGGCTCTGTGAATGGCTCGCTCTCTGATTGGTTGATCACGTCATTAGGGGCGGAGCTTGAGCTATAGCTTGAATTTCAAAGAACGAACAGATTGAACTCATTTTTTTGATTAAAAAAAATAATTTAGGGTTTCCAAAAAAATTCAAAGAGATAAAATAAATATTTTTTTGCAGTTGGACTTGGAAAAAGTATTACTTCCTGGCCTTCCATTGGACTGTGTCGGCCTTTTTGCACTCAAAAAACCTGGTATTTTGATTTTTTAAAATTATTTTTAAAGCTTTAAAGAGTAACTATAAAACCTGATTTTTCAATTTTCGAAACTTAAGAACCTGGAAATTTATTTTTTCCAACTTTTTTTGAAGGAAAAAAACATTATTTTCACTGAAAAATGACCGACTTTTAGGAGATTTTTGCGTAACCCGATCGAACCGAGGGATCTACTACCTCTCGGCGATGGTTCCCGGCGACGATCCGAATAAATTGGACCGTGTTGTTCATCTCCAGATCGAAATTAGCAGGTAAGTTTCAAAATTTAATAAAAAAAATAATTTTTTCCTTAGGAACGAGTACGGCTTCCGTGGGATGCTGTTCTGTCGCGGCAGTACTGTTGGGAAGCTTCTCTATAATTTTCATAACAGCTCGGTAACTTTGAACAACTTTTTGAGGGGATCTTGAAACTAACAAGCTCAAAAAATCCAGCTTTCATAATAATTTTTGAAAAAAACCGCGAAAAATGAGATCCGAACTGAAGAGTCTTGTCTTCGAAAAATATTAAAAACCGAATTTCGAAAAAAATAGCCATTTTAAGGACACCAGAATGGTCCGTAGAGGTGTTAGGGGACAAAATAGTGATCCCTATAGGGGGTGTAAGCCCCTTAAGGGGTCCCCACAGTAGTCTTTTTCGTTTTTAACATTGATTTAAAGCTTGAAAGACCTGTAGAGACCCCTAGAGTGACCACTTTTCAAGTGACCTTTTAGGGAAGTGTCCCCTAAAGGGGGACCTCCAAGTGATTCTTAAGTAGGTCCTCTAGGGACCCCTTCGGCTTTCACAACCTGAATTTTAACTCATAGAAAGAAAAAATCTGAGAACTAAGTCATCTGCAAGATTTAGTGCCCCTTTAGGGTCTGATAAAGTGGTCCCTAGAGGGGAACCTTGAAGTGACTCTTAAGTAGGCCCTCTAGGGACCGCTCTGACGTTCCCAACACGGTTGGACCCGTTTTTCCAGCTCTCTGTCCTTTCCGGAGTCCTCGACGAAGACGTAATCTTCCGTCGCTTGGCCACCCGGGACTGGCTTCACAGCTCGGACATCTACGAAAGCTCGCGCATCATTTCCCGGAAAGTTGTCCATTCCGACTTGGATTTTTCGGTAAAATGATGTCATTATTCCCCTAAATGACGTCACTTTGCAGTACTACAGCGCCGAGATGCTGCTAAAAAACGGGAAACAAGACGTTCTCCTTCTGACGCCGACTCAGATGGGCGAGTGCGAGTTCAAGAAGCTCATGTTTGAGGTATCCTTGAGATGACGTCATTTTGGTGCTGATCAACGTCTTCAGGAACTTCGGATGGCCGTCGTCGTCCGACATCGAGCCTTGCCGATTCGATCCCCTATTGGGATTGTTATTGACACGCCGATGATCATTCATGAGTAAGTTTCAGTCGAGTCGTTTGTACGAATCGGCTGTAAAGACAAGAGCTGGCTGGATTTTAGCCGGGTCGCAGGTCAGTCAAAATCTTGCGACTCGGCTAAAAAAGTTGAAATGTCGATTCTCATCATACTTGGCTCATTGACAAGTTGGCCTAGGAGAAAGCGGTAGCCGAGTCGCTTAGCCGAGTCGTCTAGCCGAGTCGCTTAGCCGAGTCGTCTAGCCGAGTTGCTTAGCCGAGTCGCTTAGCCGAGTCGCTTAGCCGAGTCGCTTAGCCGAGTTGCTTAGCCGAGTCGCTTAACAGAGTCGCTTAGCCCAGTCGCTTAGCTGAGTCGCTTAGCCGAGTCGTCTAGCCGAGTCGCTTAGCCGAGTCGCCTAGCCAAGTCGTTTAGCCGTGTCATTCAGCCGAGTCGATCAGCCGCGTCGTTTAGCCGGGTCGCTTAGCCGGGTCGCCTAGCCAAGTCGCTTAACTGAGTCGCTTATCCGAGTCGCTTAGCTCAGTCACCTAGCCGAGTTGCAGAAATCCAAAACTGACAGCCGAGTCACAATCTTAAGCGACCCGGCTATAGTTTAGCCGCGTCGCACTGCCGAGTCGTTTTCACAACTGAATCTGTTCAGAGATCCGAAAGACCGCCGCGGCTACACCTTGGAGTACTTTCTGGACATGTATCAGCTTGACCTGGATCTCCCGCTCCGTATCGTGGTTAGTTTGACTGCGCACCAACTCTAAACAAGGGTTGGTGACGTCATCCTGACAGAAATTGAGAGTTTACAATTTTTTAAAAATACTTCTGGCCAACTTAAATATTAATTTCCTTGGTGTATACTTTATATTGTGAAAAGAAAAGCTCCGTATCTCGTTTCAACGTTTGGCTGCGCATCAACTAGAACCAAGGCTTAGTGACGTCATCATATACGTCATCGGACATATTTTTAACTCTCCATAGGGTCAATAGAAATTTGAAAGTTTCCTTGTTTTATATTTTATATGACACATGAAAAGCTCCGTATCTCGTTTCGATATTTGGCTGCGCATCAACTGCAACCAAGGCTTGGTGACGTCATTTGACAGATTTTTAAGCTTTCATAGGTTCACTAAAAGTTGGACATTCCTTCATTTTTACTTCATAGTGTGCATTGACAAGCTCCGTATCTCATCTCTATATTTGGCTGCGCATCAACTCTATTTTTTTCAGCTTTGCGGCTCCATTTGTCGAGTAATGTCGGCTCTGCACAGTTTCGGAATGTTCCACGGCGGAGTCCTGGCCAAAAACTTTTTTGTCACCGAAAAGAAGACGTCGGATGGAAAAGTTCAACTCTCCGTCGTATTTAACGGTTCTGAAGGCCTTGTCAGGAAAGGGTAGGACTTTTTTTTTTCTTGAAAAATATTTATTATGCTTTTATCTTTACTGGAAACTAAGAAAGAACAGTAAAACTGAAAAAAAAATTTTTTTTAGAAGCGCCAAACCTGTTCGTTTCCTGGACTATGATATCTACGCGCCTGAGGTTTGAAGCTTTTCTGGGAAAATTCTTAGTGGCCACTTTAGGGTTATGAAGTTTCAATGACGACTATAGTAGTCGAATTAGTGGCCCCTTAAGTGGCTAAAACTTAGTGAGGAGTCTGAAGATTATCAAACTACTATAGTGGCCACTAAGACGCAAATAGTGGCTTCTATAGAGTTGGCGTTTAGTGGCCACTTAAGGGTCCTCTAAAAGTAGTCCTTGAGGGACCTCTTTAGTGGCCAGCAACGGTTTTCAAAGTTCCTCAAAAATGGCCCAAAAAGACGAGTTTTGTGCGCTCCATGGAGAATTTGAAGATTCTATGCCTTTTTGAAATTAATTCCGCAAAATTCTCTGACTCTTTTTAAAACACGATCACTTTGACAGCTTTTTTGTATTCCCTGAACATACCTTTCTATTGAAATTGCGCAAAACAGCTCATTATTGCTCATGTTAGCTGATTAAAGGTCGCCTGGACGAGGAGCATGACCCCAGAATCTGGAGTCTTCAATGTTGGTCGCCTCATTGCGCGTATCGTCGACCCCGATCTTGCCGGTTTGGATATGACAAAAATGAAAAACGTCCGCATTTTAAAGAAAGCAAGCATCCGGCCGTGACCAAGCTCAAGGGCCTTATCGAAAATACGTCCCGATCTGAACCGAGTCGTCGCCCGACCATGGACGGCGTCCTTCTGGCGGTCAATCAGGTAAATCGGATAACATGAGCAATAAACTTTTCAGGGGATCCCTCAACGTGCCGAAAAAAATCTTACGAAAAAAACGAAGTAGTCGTTAATTCTCAAAGGATCACTGATGAAATTTGAATCTCAACTTCTGTAATATGAGCAATGCATCGCAACAACTTTGCAAAATGAGCGATACGCTTCAAAATGCGTCAATTTTTGTATCGAGCGGGTTTTGAAAGAAGCTCTAGGATGAGCAATCAACAGCAATAATAGGGTATAGTGAGTGATGACTAATATTCTGGCGTAGCTTGGCAATCACTAAATTTAATTTCTAGGGTTTTCAATAATAAACCTATAAGATGAGCAATAAATGGCAATAATGAAACATAAGACAATTTTCGTTTATTTTACTGGAAATTATCCTGACAAGTTCTCGTGTTGATAAGTATCTTGATCTATTGGACAGCTTCATCACCCGAAAGGCCCCTAATATGAGCAATAAACCGCAATACTTTTCAAAAATGAGCTTTTCCAGATCCAATATCTAAAAAAAACCATTTTCTTCTCATTTTACTATAAATTTTCTTGAAAAGTCCTCAGAATGATAAGTATCCTCATATTCGGAATAATTTTTTCACCAAAAAGCTTCCTAAGATGAGCAATTAACAGCAATATTTGTCAAAAATGAGCCTTTTCAGATCCAAAATCTCATCGGGCCCACCTCGACAAAGTACACGCTGGTTTTGCCGACAAAACCTGCATGAGTATTATTTTTTCGGATAAAAATGAGAAAAAGTGAAAGATTTATTAATGGAGATTGCACCACAAAATGAAGATTCGGGGGAATTTTAGGGTCGCATAAAACTTGAGTAAAAGGAAAAAAAACCTGTACAATAAAAATGGGGAACAAAAAATGAAAGCTGTCATTTTCTATGTACATTCTTTTCGATGGTATACTTTTTGATACCCGAAAAATTCAAAGAGAAGGAGAGAAGGATACGGTAATACAGTAGAACCTGTTGATTAATTGATTTTTTTTTTCGATTTTTGTAGAATTTTGTTTCTTGCAATGAGAAAAAGTATTATGGAGGGTACAAGTAAAGGCGTAGGGTATCGGAATTTGGAGCTTTGTACAATTTAACAGGGGTACAAATAAAAAAAACAATTATCGATTAATGAAGTGAGTATTGAAGAGAGATTAGGTACGATAAAAATGAGAATCAGTCGAAAAAGTGGCCTTTTTTAGGGGTTGTTGAGAGTTTTTTGGGATTTTTTTGAAATTTCCAGAACTCTTGGAAGCTTTTTTTATAAGCTTTTTAGAAGTTCAAAAAAATGGGGGAAAAAAATTAATTTAATGGAATAAAAACATTTTTTTCAATAGGTCTTCAAGGCTTCAGACTCTTCCTGGAGCTTCCAAAATTTTTTTGAAGTCTTCCAATGACTAAAAAAATTCCTGAGGAGCTTTTTAAAAATCGTTCAAAATCATCTTAGACCTTTTTTTAAACTCTTTTTAGGAACACTTAGAAAACTCCTAAAGACTTAAAAAAAATGGTTTCAAAGCCTCAGGATCACTCCGAAAACGTTACAGTTCAAAAAAATAACTCCGAAAAAAATCCCTTGAATCAAATTTTAGCGCCTTCCAAGTATTTAAAAAAATTTTTAAAAAGCTTTTTAAAATCCTTAAAAATCACCTTACACCCTTCCAAAGTCCCTAAGAACCTCTTAAGATCCCGAAAAAAAATCCAAAAGAGGTTAAAAAAAAAATAAAAAAAAGGCTATCAAGGCTTCAGAATCTCAAAAAATCTCTCAAGAAACCCAAAAAAGGGTAAATTGTCCATTCACCTGACTGTCTGCGTCTCTTTGCTCCCTCACAGGTCAGAGAAACATGAAAATAGCACGTAAACATGAGAGACGAGAAGGGTGCAGAGAACATACTATACATACAAAAAATGCACAAGGTTCAAGGTACAAATATAAAAAGAGGAAAACAGGAAATCGGAATTCAGTTCCACTGCTGACGGATCGTAATATTGTCGGCGGCCATGGGGAAGACCTTCTCGAACGGCGTCCTGAACGCCTCGATCTTGATGAGCCGCGTCGGATGCTCGACGATCTCAACGAGTTCGACCGCCTTCACGCCTCGAACCTGGAAACGACTTGGTGTAAAAACAGCTAGTTCAAGGCTACAGTACCTTGCCGACCATGTAGGCTGGTCTGGGGACGATTTTCGGACCGCGCATCATCGAAAGCTTGAGCGATTCGACGCCGCACTTGTCCAGAAGGTCCTGGAAGCGGATTTTGAGAAAAATTCCGATATGACGTAGAAAAAAGCATCTTTTTAAACTCCTTGAAAAGGACATCGAAAAAATCTCTAACTTAAAAATAGCCTTCAAGGGGAGTAAAAAAAAAGACGAAGACTGAAAAATTGATGAAATTTTGCAGACATGTGATTTCGGAAAAAGTAGAGAGTTTCTCGCCGAAAAATGATGTCAAACTACTGAAAAAACAACGCGAAATGACATTTACAGCGACTTCTTTCGTTCTATTCATCAATTAAACCTCCAGAAAAAATTGCAAAAAAAATTTTGCTCCCTCTGAGATTCGAACCCTGATCACAGTTCCACAATGCTAAAACGCTAACCACTACACCATGCTCCCAGATGCAAGCGGTGGCCTTTTAGCGCGCCAGATTAGCTCTGGCGTGCAAACTTTGAGGTACCAAAACTACACCAAAAGGCAAAAAACTTGAAATTTTTTTTTCTGGAATCAGGTGGCCTGGACGTTTATTAAAGTGTGTCTTTTCCAACTTCTCTTGTTGGGGACTTTTCGAGAGACTTTTTTGTAAAATTTATTCAAAAAAATTGAAAAAGGCTCTCAAATTTCAGCCAAAACCTTGAAAATCCTATAAAACTTCAAAAATCCTGAAAACTTGAACCTTTCTATCCCAATTTCCCATAAAAACACAAAAAAGGCTCTCAAATTTCCACCAAAACCTTGAAAAACCACTTGAAAAAACCAAATTTCCCAGGTTTGATCAGTAAATCACCTGAACAGTCTCCTCATTGGGATCGAAGCCGTCGAAACTAGTGTAGCTGAAGTGTTTGAACTTGGCGCCGCTGACCGTCAGTCGGTTCATCATCTCCGGGATTTTGCCGGGCTGCGGGTCGAACCCGAGGTCGAACGACATCAGCGCCGCCCACTCGAGGTTCATCTGCAAGAAAAATTGTACTTTTCTTCCAGATTTCTTCAAAAATTCAAGATTTTCGGTGGTACCAAGTTACCAATTCAAACATAATCACTCAAACAGCGGACTTTGAGATTGAAAATTCTCGTTTTTAGAATTTTTTTATTCATTGTTAGAAAATCCCTAGAAGGAGCACTTAAAGCTTTGAAGTTTTGTTTCAGCTCGCCAAAAATAAAAAATTCAAGATTTTGGAGCCAAAAATCTAATCAAATATAGCCGAAAAACAGCTTCCAAAGGCTTTGAAAAATCTTTTTTTTTCCAACTTTCCTGGAAAAAAATCCCTAAAGTGAGCCCTTGAGGTCTCGAAAACTCTTCATGAAGCCAAAAATAAAATAAAATGAAAGTCAAATTTCAAGATTTAGCCCAAGAAATCAAAGCCAATCCAGCGGAAGAACAGCTTCTAGACTTAAAAAAAAAAAATCATTTTTCGTCTTTATTCTTGAAGAATTCCTAAAACGAGCCCTTGCAATCTCGAAATCTCTTCATGACGCAAAAATTAAATAAAATAAAGTCTAATTACAAGATTTGGAGCCAAAAATGTGAGAAAACCTAACAGAAGAACAGTTTCTATGAGCTTGAAAAAGAAGTTCTACCGCCTACCTTTTGATAATCCCTAAAGTGGGCACTTTCGATTTTGTTCTCCAATTTTCGAGCATTCTTTTTAGAGCTATCGATGAGTGAACGTTTTTTGATTTCTCCATTTTTTTACACTAAACCAGAAACAGGATAGTAATGAAAACTAGAAAAAAAATCGAGATTTCAATCAAAAAAATAAGTCGAAAATTCAAGCGATTAGTGGTACCATTTTTTGTTGATTTTTGGGTTAGTTCATTTCAAAAAAATGATCCGTAAAACCCACAATTCTCAATGAGAACCATGCAAAAATGATCCGACGACGTCGCCTGAATTTTTCTCATTTCTTAAAAGAAAAATAAGAACTTTTTTTTTGAAATTAAAACTTTTCTTTTCCTTCCTACGAAAATGCCTTCTATACTTAACCTCGAAAAAACTCTTTTTTTGAGTAAATTTTGAAAATTCGGCGCCAAAAATCTGATCAAATCTAGCAGAAGAACAGCTTTCAAGGGCTTTAAAAAAAATGTTTGCACCTATCTTTGGAAAATCCCTAAAGGGAGCACTTTAAGTCTTGAAATCATTTCATTAGGCCAAAATAAAATTTAGTCAAATTTCCAGATCTGGCCCCGAAAATCTGATCGAATCTAACAGAAGAGGAGCTTGTAAGGGCTTGAAAAAGGCATTTTTCTCACATTTTTTTGAAAAATTCCCTATAGGGACCCCTTAAAATCCCTTCAAACCACTTCATTAAAGCCACTGTGATAAAGAGTGCGCACTTAAGACAGTACTTGGAGAAGACCCTGAAGTGGCCACTAAAACCATCTCTATAGAAGGCACTATTTGGCGTCTTAGTGGTCACTATAGTTGTTTAATACTACTCCGACTTCTAAAGAGGTCACTAAACCTTAGCCGCTTAAGTGGCCACTGACTCGACTACTCTAATGGACACTAAAACCTCAAAACCCTAAAGGGACCACTAAAACTTTTCCAGCACTCCGAAAAATCTGATCAAATCCAACAGAAGGAGAGCTTCTAGAGCCTTTAAAAAAGGCCAAATCCCTAAAGGGATCCCTTGAAATCCCCTCATACCTCTTCATTGAAGCCGATGGCCGCCTCGGTGAGCCCAACACGGGAGACTTTTCGGAGGGTTTTCGCGTTGGAGCGCATAAGCTCGCCGAGTTTCGTCACAGATTGTCCGCCCTGTCGTCTCTTCACTGTCAACGTTTCCAGCTTCACTTTTTCTATAAATCAATTTTTTGAAAATCATAAAAGTACTTGAAACTTCGGAATGAGTTGAAAACGTTAAAAACTTCAAAAATCGTCAAAATTTTTGTATTTGGTGAAATTTCGGAGAAGCGCTAAGATGAGCAATCAACAGCAACATCTTGAAAAGTGAAAAAATTTGAAAATTGAAGCCATCATAGTGATAAAAGCAGTAAAACTAAACTTCACCCTCCAAAAAATTTCACTATAGGGATGACTTGAACTGAAAATTCGAAAAAAAGTGAAAAATCCAAAATTAATTTTTAATACTTTTTTTAGCTTATTTTTTTGACTAAAAACTTGAAAAAAATCCAGTAAAAATTTTTTTTCGCCTAAAATTTTCAGAAAATTATTCAAAAACCATCAAAAAAATCATCAAAATTGCTTCAAATTCATGAATTTTCGTAAGGAAACAGACTGAAAAAAATCAAGAAAAAAACACGAAAAAAATGAGCCACAAAATCCACTATTTTCAGTCAAAAAAATGGCTTTTTTTGAATAAAAATTACAGAAAACCAGGCTTGAAGATTTGAAAAGATCAAATAAAAAGGGCAAAAAAACAGCTGGAAAAAAATGACGTTTTTCAAATAAAGCAGCAGGTAACTAGCCTCAAAAAAACATAGAAAAGTCACGAAAATGAGCAAAAATGAGCGAAAAATCGAATTTTCAATCAAAAAATGACTTTTTTCGAACAAAGTTGCAAGAAACCAGGCTTTAAAATTTGAAAAGATTGAATAAAAAGGCAAAAATAAATCGAAAAATGGTTTTTTTTTTCAAATAAAAGTGCAAGAAATTAAACTTCAAATTCAAAAACTGACACGAAAATGAGCAAAAATGAGTAAAAAAAATCCGCAAATTTCACTTAAAAAATGGCTTTTTTCGAATAAAAATACAGAAAACCAGGCTTGAAAATTTAAAAAAAGACACGAAAATGAGCCAAAAATAAATCGAAAAAGTAGTCCAATAAATTGCAGGAAACAAGCCTCAAATATTCAGAAAAAAATAAATAAAAAAATGAAAAAAATCCAAAAATTTTCAGTCGAAAAAAACGGTTTTTTTCCTATAAAAAAATATAGAATAAAGCTTCAAAATAAAAAAAAATTTTTCGACTAATTCTGCAGGAAACCAGACTTAAAAATTTGAAAAGACCAAAAAAGGGCAAAAATAAATCCAAAAGTGGTGTTTTTTCAATAAAAGAGCAGGAAACTAGCTTCAGAAGTTCAAAAAGGCCACGAAAATGAGCAAAAATAACTCAAAAATTGGCTTTTTTTTCGAATGAAGTTGCAAAAAACTGAACGTAAAAATATAGAAAGACAGAAAAATGAGCAAAAATGAGCGAAACTTTGAAGATTTTACACGAAAAAAACTCAAAACACTACAAAAAGCGTCCCAAAAACCCACCACAACTGATCAATTCGTCCAAAATCGAGTTCAAAAGCGTGATATCGCGATCCTCAAAATAAAGGTCGACGTTTCGGATGCCCTCCGTCCTGGCCAACACGAATTTGACCATATCCAAGGCTTTGGAGGCGTTTCTGGTGGAGGTTCCCTGCAAAAACGAGGAGGGGACTCGAACCAGGAACCTCGAAAATGGGAACCTGAACAACGAAAACCGCGTCGGTGGTGCCGTTGTTCGGGACTCGAAGGCTTGAGGAATGAGATTCGTAGATTTCGATTTTGAGACTTGTCACGAAGCGGAAAGCGCGCTCCACCGCACGGTAGGCTTCCGAGTGGATCGTCTAGAAAATCCCGATTTTTTTTGGATTTCTAAGGGAAAAAAAACCTTGAGGGCCAGGGCAGCCTTTAGAGAGATTCCAGAGGCGACGTGCTCGAAAATGCGGCCCCAGGAATAAATATCGAGGTCGACGAGTGCCGTCGAAGGCGTCGCGGTCGCGTCGCGTGAGCACGACGGCATTTGACGCATCAGGTTGCTAGAAGCTTTTTTATTGAATTTTACGTTTTTAATAAAAAAATTTAAAGAAAAAAAGATCCATAAAAAAAGGAAATTTTTCAGGCCTTTTTCTAGTTGAAAATATTCATTTTAAGCCAAAAAAATCAACTTTTTTTCGATTTTTTTAACTGAAATTACAGAGACATGACCTAAAGATGGAAATTTTAAGGATTTTTTTACAGTTAAAAATTCTTATCCAGCTTTTTCATTTCCAACCAAAATTACGAGCGTAAAATCTCGAAAAAAATTTCATATTATTTTTAAAAAAATTTGCTCAAAATGCGTCCTAATTCCATGAAAAAAATGTAAATTTTTTTGTCACTTCCTCGTAAAAATTTGACCAATAATGATTCCTAGAGCCACAAAATAGCGAAAAACAAGGCATTTTTCAAAAAAATCCTAAATAATTTTTCTTTAAAGGAGCATGGCCAAACTTTCATTAGGGTCTCGAAGCGAATGCCGCTTTTTTTGCCATTCCTGCGCCTTTAAACAGTTGAAAAAGTCTTTTTTTTTCACAAAATTTTTTTGAAATTTAAAAACTAACAGCTCTGCGTCATTGGAGGAAGTGGACATGGGGAAAATGGATGGAAAACTGATCGTTTGGCCTGAAAAATTTTCAGATTCGCTTGAATAAAACGGCGAAAAAAAAACACAACTAGCGAAAGTGTGGAAAAACAGCTGTGTAAACCGCACTTTGTCCTGTAAAATGGCCCAAGATTTGGGCAAAACAGACTTTTTATGGGAATTTCGAAATGTTCGGCTGAAGATCGAGTGGGGAAAGGAAAACATGTGATGGTGTTTTGAGAGGTTGAAAAAGGTGAAATTTAAATTATAACTTTGGTTTTCATTTAAAAAAACGAATTTTTATTCGAAAAAAATATCTGGAGGAATGAGCAAATCTTCTCAAAAGTCCGATTTCAGTATTTCTTATATCTCGCAAGATTTCTTGGCTCAAAGTTCTTGATGAAACATGAGAACATTGAAAAAAAGAATGAACACAAAATGAAAAGAAACAAAAAAGGAAACAACCAAATTCGAAAAAAAAAACCAGAAAATGTCGTAGGCTAAAATGCAAAATGTTCATACACCCTCCATCACGGAAAGCTGATTACCGTAGCGAGAAATTGGAGGAATCGAAGGTGATTGCAAAGTGAAACGAAGGAGGATTGATAAGATAATTGGTACAACACAAAGTTGATACTGACAACTCGTTCCGATACGCGGAAGCGTGTCGTTTTTTTAAACTTTCTCTCTCTCTCTTTTGCGCGTGGAACGGTTTCAATAAATTACCTATTTTCCAGGTAAAAAGGAGAAAAAATGAGTTAGTTAAGAGGATCGATATGAAAGCCCGTTTTGGGAGGAACGGTTCAAGGCCAAAAGTTTAATTAGGCTTGGGGTGGGAGAGGAAAGCCAGTTTTTCTTTAGCTTCTACCAATAAATGTTTGTTTCCTTCTCAGATTTCTGTTGGGAATCGGAATGAATGAGGAACTCGAAACAAAAACCGAAAATAATTTTTTTCGTCGTCATTAAAAGGCGAAAACAAAAACAATGACGCGTGGTTATCAACCGCAATCTTTAGAGATTCAATGTTATTGCGAAATGGATCAAAAATTAGGAAGTGAAACGGAAAATTCACCGAAATCGTAGTATAAGAGTGAAATGAAGGAAAAGCGGAACGGCCGAAAGAAATGGACATCTGCCAACACACGTGCGCCCTCACGACTAGTTTGAATATATAAAAATGATGTCATTTCTTCATTTTCTTTATGCGTATATAGTCAAGGATGAATCACATATTATCTCGTAGGCAAATCTGCGAAGCATGGTTTTCGAGAAGAACGTAGGGTTTAGTGTAATGCGGAAAAAGATTTGGGGAAACACCCGTTGCTTTGAAAAAGAAGCGTGCAGGAAAAACAGTGAAATGGCAAAAAAGCGATGGGGATCGATCCAGGGACCTCTGGAGTATTAGACAAGAGCGCTACCGATTGCGCTATTGAGTTCATCTCGCCTTCACGCCGCTTTAGCCTAGGTAAAGCCTCTTGAAACCTTTTTAAAGCATGGGAAAGCGCAAAAAAACCTTTCTAATAGAAAAAAATGACAGAAAAAAACTTTTTTTACTATCAATCAGAGTATAAAATAACGACAAATCTACTGAGTAATCATGAAACTTGACAAAATAGTCTTCAAAAAAGCCATTTTTCGAACCAGAAAAACGCTTTCGGGGCGTGATTCAACGGTCACATCAGGGCGAAAAACACGAAAAAGTCCCTGATAAGGGTCCGAAAACGTGACATTTTGTTTTTGACCAAATTTCGGGCGCGTGGCTTCCGCTATTTATGGCCGCGGATAGTTTTGATAGGAAGTTGGAATTTCAAAATTATTAGAAATCGAGCCAAGAAATTCAGAAAGGCCTTCAGAGAGTGAAAAAGATAACTAGGTTTAGGAGATTTAGAGATGAGTTCGAGTTTTGTAGAGTTCCTGGAACACGACTTGATAAACTTCGAAAATTTTCAAAAAAGGGGAGAAATTTTCAGGTTTAGATGATATTTGTGTTTCGAGAAAAGTATTAACTGAAAAATATATATTGATCGTGAGATTTTAAGACAATTAAAAGATTAAAAAAAGAATTTTTTTCGAAATATTGACCAGGAACTTTTTTTATCCCTCTCTAAACTTGATTTGAACCTGAATTTTTTTGGATTAAACCAAATAAAAAGCCCAGAGAATACAGAAAAAGAAATTCTGAAAAAAACTGGCGAGGCGCCAAAATTTGCACATTTTATAAGCTGGGCCCAGCACACAAACATGCGGCGGGAAACCGATGTTTGGTCGGTTCCCGTGGATTTTTATTTTTTGTTTTGCAGAAGCTCGGAACTTGATAAGGGAAGACCTATTTGGTTCGAGATCATTTGAAAAAAAGTTCGATAAAATTTTTTTGATTTTCAAGTCAAGAAGCTCTGAAAAAATTGAAGAGAGCTTCAAAGTTTTTTTAATTGATTTCAAAAAAATAATTAGCTCGAAAAAAATCTGATCAAAAAGCTTTTTACCCGCAGCCTTAAAAAAATTTCAAAAAAATCTTTAAAAAAATTATTTTTTTCAGTGCAAACTGGGCTGATTGAGATTAAGATTAAAACTATCAAAAAAACCAAAAAAATCTAAAGAAGTTTCTGTATAGAATCTTGAAATTTCTTAACTTTTTGAAGTATTTTTGGAAAAAAATCTAATGAAAAAGCTTGCCATAACAAATCCAAAAAAAATCAGCGAATTTCGAAAAAAATACATAAATATTTGAAAGAAGTATAGGCAACTTTAAACTTGAACACAGAGTAAAAAAATTAAAAAAATCATAATATTTAAAAGAAAAAAATCTAAAAATAAAGCCTTAAAAAGCTCAATTTTTCAAAAAAAGACGGCTGGAAAAATTCAAAAAAATCATGTTATAATTTTTCAACTAGAAATTTAAAAATCTCAAAAAAATTCCAAATTTTAAAATAGTCCATCCTTTCCCAAAAACATAAAAAAACAGGATCTTCTAAAAAAATGATATAATTGAAAAAAAGTATAAGCAACTTGAAGTTAACTTGAAATCACAAATTGGAAAAAAACAAAAAAATTCTCAATTTTTCAAAAAAAGACGGTTCAAAAAAATTCAAAAAAACCTGTTATAATTTCCAACTAAAAAGTTAAAAAAATCTCAATTTTTTTGAATAATTCAGTCATTCTCCAAGGTTTTTTTAAAAAGAAGATCCAAAGGTTTCAAAAAAAATTTTTTTATTGAAATATTGATAAAGCTTCTTTGACTCAACTTTCGACGCTCTTTTTTTATAGCGATTAGGCGAAAATAGGCAGCCCCCCGGGAGACTTTGACCAAATACACATGTTGCGATAAGGAATGTTGCGAAAATGGTCTTCCGATAAGGCGTTATCAGTGAGGAAAGAGCGCTCTAGCGTAGCGAGCCACATCAAAGTATGTGATTTTTATTAGCTGACCGAAGGCTAATAATAATTGGTCACGAGGAAAAGTGAAAATATGATGTCTAGTATGCTGATAAAGGCCATAAAAACCGTTTTGGCACGTTTTTACACGAGGTTGTTAATTTGATATTTTATTCGTTTTTGATGAACATTTTTCACTTTTCGAAAATTTTCAGAAAGCTCATTTCGGTTCAAAAAAATTTTTTGTTGAAAATTCAGCTTTTAACGCCTTACTTATGGCAGATTTTTTGATCTAGTTAATTTTTATTTTTTTCATAAAATTTCAAGAAGAAAGCTAAATTCGAAGTTTCTGAACACCTTGTCGATTGAAAAAAATCTAGTAAGGCTCACTTTTCGATCAAAATGATCTCTTTTGATAAAATTTTTTTTTACATTTTTTCAGAGCTCATTTCATTCTTAGGAACGCCAGAGTGGCCCCTTTAGAGGCAACTTGAAAATTCAAGGGCCCTTGGAGGTTCCCTCTACGGACCAGTTCACAAATCCCTGGAGGGGCTGTTTTTCCTCTAACCCCAATAAGGACCACTCGGGCTTTCCTAAGGTGTTCGCTGACGATTCCTTCTAGATTTTTTTGAAATAGCCGTCTTTCCCAGAATAATTAATAAAAAACTTGTTTAAAAAAATATTCCTCACTTTCGAAAAATCTGCTATTTCAAGGCCATTTTTTTCAAGCTCTCAATATATCTGAAGCCTTTTCTGGCCAAATTTGGCTAATAATAGAAAGAAAGGTTGCTCTATTGACACACTCCCTGAAGGTACTTTGATTTATAATCGTCTAATGTACTTTGAGCAAAGATAAGAGCACTAGAAAGCACTAAAACATTCTGGGTTGTACAGATCGAACTAAAATTTTTTCATTGAATCATGGATTTTCTTCTCATGCTGATCTTCTGATCTCGAACTTTGTGGTTTTGGAAAAAAATTTCATTTAAAAAATCTTCTTGTTTTTGATTTTTGAAAGAACAAAAAGCTGAAAAGATCATAGTTTCAGCTCATAAACTTTGAAAATCTCAAAAAAAAAAAATCGGTGGAACAACTGCTCAACGTACTTTGTCCTCTGTTTTGCATGTGTAACGTCTTTCGTCACGTTTTTTTGCTCACCGAAAATGATCAAATCAAATTCCGATGCTCAAAAACAGTGCAAATGATAAGCGTCACATGGTTATGGGGATTTTATTACTTTGAACGAAATTTAATGATCCGTTTTCGAAAATAAGCAATTATGAAGGAAATTTGTTTGAAAAATTGAAATAGAAGCTTGAAAACTTTATTAAAAAGCTAACAAAGCTAGGAAAGAAAAATAAAATAGTACTCATCACAAATAAAAGAGAATATAAAAATGACCTTGTGAATTAAAACAAGATCTTTGTGAAACCTGTAATTCCTTTTGAAAATTTAAAAAAAAAACGAACTATCAAAACTACTTTAGAACTAAAAAACATCAAAAAGAAAGATAAAAACCACGTTCTGTTCAAAAATCCTTTCTGCGTGTTCAAGAAAAACGAATATATTGAGGCAAATTCGTTTCCAACGTTCCTCCAGGCTTTGCAAGGCCTTTATTTGAACAGATAATTAAAGAAATAAAAAAATAATAAAAAAAGAAAAAAATTTAAAAATCCGTGAAAAAAACGTGAAAATGTCGTAAGCTTGAACGCACTTTGTGCACACACTCCTGCCTACGGATAAACTGGCTACAGTAATCAAGAAATCGTAAAAATCGGAAGGTTATTGCAAATTGAAACGGATAGATTTATCATTTGGATTGACACAAAATCCGAAAAAAATGTGCGTTTTCCTAGATTCTAGCAAATTACAAGGATAATTCAGACCATTTCACATAGTTTTTCTATATTAAGCAAAAAGTGAAGCCTCAAAAATTTTTTGCACAAGTAAAAAAGAGGAAAAAAGGAACGGAAAGGGAAAGAACCGTAGCAGAAGGAGCAAATTGGAAGGGAACGGAACGTAAAACGGAGCGATGACGAAGGACTAGAGAGCGGACGAGTGGGAGAGGGAGCAGAGAAAGGACTGGCTGGAGGGGAGGAGAGAGGCGGTGGCGGCTGTTTTGGCGGGAGCTCCGTCGCCCATGTGATGTTTGGGGGGCGCGAGAGAGTCAGAGGAGGTGGAGCTGCTCCGACGTCGTCGACACGTGGTCCGAGAGCGCAGACGAGCAGCCACCAGGGCTGTTTTTCCTGAGTTGAGTCCGACCCACAGAGTAGAGTATTTACCTTCCTTTTCTCAGTAAGAGAGTGAAAAAAGGTCCTTTTTGTTGATCATTTTGATCTTTTGGATATCGAAAGACCTTTTCGTAAGTAGAAAAGCATTTGTTTATTTACCTATTTTTTCTAAAAAGAAAGGTTAAAAAGGTCCTTGTTGATATTTTAGAAATTCTATGAAATCAAATGTTTTTTAAAATACAAACCTTGAACTAGATTACAAGGCCTATGAGCGTATTTATAAGCGCAAAATGAGGTAAAACCGAAAAAATCAGATCAAAGTTATCAATTTGAAAGTTCTAGTGAAATGGCGCTCCATTGCAAAATCCAGCAAAAATGAAATTTGAAAATTTTTTCCAGTCAACAAGCTGCTTTTCCTGAGTTGAGTTGGGTTCGACCCAAAAAGTGGAGTATTTACCTTCCTTTTCTCAGAAAAAAGGGTAAAAAAATGTCCTTCTTGTTGATCATTTTGACCTTCTTAGGAGCTCCAGAGTGGCCCCTATAGAGCCCCTACCCTTGGAGGGTCCTCTAGGGGCCACTTTGGACGATCCCTATAGGGACCACTCAAGCTTTGAGGGCTAAAAGGGTCAGACCCTGAACCCCTATAGTAATCGCCTTGATTGAACCCTATAGGGACCTCTTTTTCGGGCTGTTTTTCACCCTAAACCCCATAGGGACCACTCTAAGATTCCAGTTTTGAATGGTCGGAAATGTAGTTCTCCACGAAACGAGGTTTTCTGAGAACCTTCTTGGATTCAGAGCCTAAAAATATTTTTCTACCTTTCCTTCTTTCAAAAAGAGGTAAAAAAGTTGAACTTGTTGAGCATTTTGATCAATTGGATGTAAAGGCCTTATTGAAAAATGTATTTTGAAGTTTTCACTCCAGAAATTTAGTATTTCGCGCTCTCCGACCTTCCAGAAATCTTTAGGGGTCACTAGTGAGTCGGAAGTGATCCCTTAAGTGGAACAGTTCTTCTTTTTGCAATTACAAAATAATATATGTACAGCAAAATCAAATAAATTTATAAAATCCGAAATTTTTTCCTATTGGAATTTCCTATTATTTTTGATCGTTTCTGCGAAAAATTCCCCAAAAGATTGACAAGAAATGACGTAAACCTTTCAAAAAAACGTGTGTCTCGACAAAATTCACGACCTGAAGCTTATTTTCCGCATTCCTAGACTCGAATACGAGAAACGTGACCTCTGGCGTCACAAGAACAGAAAAAAAGGCCGTCTGTTTGGCTGAACAATCTGAAATGGCGAGAAAAAAATTAAATAGAAATGTGTTTAAAACGAAAAAAATTCAGCTGAATCCGGAAAAATATTAAATAACCGAAACAACTATAAATTGAACAAAACTGACAAAACTATTGCTCAAAACGAGGGGTATATAAACAAAATCCATTTTTTTTCAATATCAAATGATTTTGTTTAATTTTGGCTATTTCTAGAATCAATTCGGCATCAAAATATCGAAAATTCAAATTTGCAGACAGATTTTCCCATCCCACCGTTTACAACTAAACAAAGAGACGGAGAAAAAAAAACCGTCTTTGTGCCGTAAACCGTGGGAAAACTTTTGAACGTCTAAGACTCGGAATTTGAATAAAATTCGTTTGTGAGAAATAAAAAAGGCAAGATTTTCGGCTCGAAATAATCCGCTATTAAAGGCGCAGGCTAAGCAGCCAAAATGTACCGATTCCAATCAAGACCCCGAAAGTCGATCAGCGTATTTTTTGACTTTTTTAATGTATTTTCTTTTATTTTTCAATCTTCATAAGTTCTGATTACGCATTTCATGCGCCTAAAGCAGCTATACATTCCATTTTTAGTGAATTTCATTTATTCTCGTTGAATATGGCTCAATTTTCGTGGGGAATAAATGCAAAAATATGAGCAATTTTTAAACTTCTGTTTCTCTTCTTACTTTTTTCAGATTCATCACTCAAATTTACGATTTTAATATTGAGATGTCGCTCAGAAATGCAAAGATGACTAAAACCGCAAAATAAACGGGGAAAATGAAGAAAATGAAAGAAAGGAGGCTTTTTACGGCCATTTTTTTCAAAGATTTGTTTTTTTAGTTTAATTTTTGGTTTTAGACTATTTTACAAGCCTTTTTTTAAGTATTTTTTTCTCGAAACTTTTTTTTCAAGTGGACCAAAGTTCACCTCTACTTTGACCTCCACAAAATCAAAAAACCAAAAAAACTCAAAAACGAGGAGCAGATATTTACGTAGCGGCCGACCACGTGGGCCGTTCGTTTGCTCTTTTTTCCTGAAAAAAAGAGGAAGTTCTGAGGGAGAAAAGATTTTTCCGTGCAGTGGAACGACTTGAGCAAAACATTCATTTTAAAAAAATCAATCGAAATTGGTAAAATTTCCTCGATCCGCTTCTTCTTCATCATTTTGTGAGCGAAGTGGGATGAAAGTGTGGAATTTTTGAAGGACGACAGATCGATTGAAGAAAAATAGCGTGGCGATGTTGGTTATCAGAAGGATCAGTGAAACGGCGATCAGGGCCTGAAAATAGAAGATTTCAGCCTTTTTTTATCTGAGAAAAAGTAAAAGAACCATTTGAAGATGTTAAATTCACATTTTCGGAGAAAAATTTGATTCAGAATTGCCAAAAATAATTTTTTTTAAATCAAGAATGAAAAATTTTTTAAACAAAACTTTTTTTTGAGACTAAGGTTTGGAAGTAAGCACAAATTTGTAGAACTCGGCCTCAAGTCAGGAAGTTTGGAAAACTAGGCCTTCCTCCACCGCAGTCTTTCCTGTTATTCAAGCTCCACGTTTCGGAATTTTATGCACTGGTTGAAGTATTTGGAAAATTAGGTCACCGGTTTCCATCCTTTTTAGTCTTTTTTTGTAGAAATTTGACACAGAAAATCAGGGAAACCCGGTCAGCGAGTTTGGAAAACTACGCCTTCTTCAGCCGTAGTTTTTTCTGTTATTCAAACTCCACGTTTCGGATTTTTATGCGTTTGGTTAAAATGTTTAGAAAATTAGGCCACGGTTTCCATCCTTTTTAGTCTTTTTTGTAGAAATTTGACACATTAAATTAGGGAAACCCGGTCAGCAAGTTTGGAAAACTAGGCCTTCTTCAGCCGTAGTTTTTTCTGTTATTCTAAACTCCACGTTTCGGATTTTTATGCGTTTGGTTAAAATGTTTAGAAAATTAGGCCACGGTTTCCATCATTTTTAGTCTTATAAGGTCATCTTTTGTAGAAATTTGGCAAAGACAATTTAGGAAAACAAGCCTCGAGTCAGGAACTTTGGAAAACTAGGCCTCCTCCGGCCGCAGTCTTTCCTGTTATTCAAGCTTCACTTTTCGGATTTTTAGTTGAAGGATTTGGAAAATTAGGTCACGGGTTTTCATCATTTTTAGTCTTATAAGGTCATTTGTATGTAGAAATTTCTCACAAAAGGTTTGGAAAAACCGGTCAGGATGTTTGGAAAACTAGGCCTTCTTCTCTTCTTCGCAGTCTTCTCGTTTATTCAAGCTTCACAGTTTGATTTTTAACGAAAGATTTGTAAATCTAGGTCACCGTATTTAGGGAAGCCGTAAATAAAGGAGAAAAAGTTCCATAGGTAGCAAATTTCATAGAGGACACAAAAATTCACAAAAACCGCTCACCGCCGTACAATCGTAGCAAAGTTGAAGATTTTGGGTGCAAGTGTAGTTGGGGCTATTTTCGAGGTTAAGCCAAGCTTCGTTGAACTCCATCCTCTATGAAAAGCCAAAATAAGAACTTCTTTAGAAAAATCGAAAAAGACAAAGCTATTTATGAACTAAGGAGAGAAGTTCATTAGTGGGAGTCTTATTGGCTAATAACGCCATGGCAACGAGAAATGTCTTATCTTGAGCTTTATTCTTTGTTCCCGATTTAATTAATATGGCTTCTCCGCTTGAAAATGTTTTCGAACGCTTCAAAGGTTGAAAAATCGCTTTTATTCTACTTAGGAGCTTTGGAGAGGTTCCTATAGGGACAACGAACAAAAGGCACTTCAGTTGTTAAAATTTGTCCCCCGCTTTTGTTTTCCAAAAAAACTTTAAAATGACGTAATTATCGAGTTGATGACGTCATCAGCGTTGGATAACAGTAAAATTTGACCTTGTTTTGACGTTTTTGAAATGAGTATAAGGTCACTGATTCGATCTTAACTCAAAAAAATTGCAAAAAGCGTTTATTATTCTCAAAATTCAAGACGGACGATCAGAAATGACGTCATTTTTAAATTTATGACGTCATCAGCGTTGGATAACAGTAAAATTTGACCTTGTTTTGACGTTTTTGAAATAAGTATAAGGTCACTGATTTAATCTTAATTCAAAAAAATTGCAAAAAACGTTTATTATTCTCATAATTCAACACGGTTGGTCAAAAATGACGTCATTATCGAGTTGATGACGTCATCAGCGTTGGATAGAAGTAAAATTTGACCTTGCTTAGACGTTTTTGTAATAGGTATAAGTTCACTGGTTCAATCCAAAACGGAAAAAATTGCAAAAAACGTTTATTATTCTCAAAATTCAAGACGGATGAAAAAAGGTGACGTCATTATTGAGTTGATGACGTCATCAGCGTTGGATAGAAGTAAAATTTGACCTTGCTTAGACGTTTTTGTAATAGGTATAAGTTCACTGGTTCAATCCAAAACGGAAAAAATTGCAAAAAACGTTTATTATTCTCAAAATTCAAGACGGATGAAAAAAGGTGACGTCATTATTGAGTTGATGACGTCATCAGCGTTGGATAACAGTAAAATTGGACCTTTCTCAGAACTTTTTGTAATAGGTATAAGTTCACTGTTTCAATCCCCCACGCAAAAAATAGCAAAAACACGTTTATTATTATCAAAGTTCAATAAGGATGATAAAAAAATGACGTCACTACTGAGTTGATGACGTCATCAGCAATCAATAAAAAGTGAAATTTGGGTTTACTCAGAACTTTTTGTTATAGGTATAAGTTCACTGGTTCAATCCCCCACGCAAAAAATAGCAAAAACACGTTTATTATTATCAAAGTTTAATAAGGATGATAAAAATGACGTCACTACTGAGTTGATGACGTCATCAGCAATCAATAAAAGTGAAATTTGGGTTTACTCAGAACTTTTTGTTATAGGTATAAGTTCACTGGTTCAATCCCCCACGCAAAAAATAGCAAAAACACGTTTATTATTATCAAAGTTCAATAAGGATGATAAAAATGACGTCACTGCTTAGTTGATTCACCAGCGGTGGTGACGTCTGGGTCTGTGAAGATTCAAAGCGTAAGCACACAAGGCGAGGATCAAGCAGATTCTCATCAACATCACCTCGTCGTTGACGACGAGCTGAAAAAGGCTGAGTTATCAAGATTTTTCTGGAAAATTGAAATGTTGAACGTACAAAAAATTTTAAAATTGACAAAAAATGAATCAAAATTTATATAAAAACAACAGTATCTTTTTTGTAGAATGCGGAAAAGCCATGTCTGTTCTTTAGAATGCTGGGAAAATCTCTAGTGGCCACTTAAGAGGTTCCTTGAGAATTTCTTGGAGATGACACTAAAGTGACCACTAAAACCACCTTTCTAAAAGCCACTATTTTGCGTCTCAGTGGCCACTATAGTAGTTTTTAATGGTCCAGTAGTATCAGCCAAACTTATAGAGAGGCCAATAAACTTTAATCACTTAAGGGCCCACTGATTCAATTACTAAAGTAGCCCATAGAATGTCAAAATCCTGAAGTGACCACTTGAAATTTTCCCAGTACTCTGAAAATATAAAAAAGATGAGCGTTTTTAAGTCATTTTTTTCGCTAAAAAGCTTGAAATAGTGAATTTTTCGATGAATTGGTTCTTTTTTGAAGGATTGCTCTATTTTCTGAAGCTCTGCCATTTTTAAAATTGATAAAAAGTTTATTTAATTTATAAAATACTTTTTGAAAACTCGCCACGCTCGGTCTTAAGCTGTCCCTTCTCTCCAAGAATTTTTTCGCGTACTCCTCAAGTTCGTCCATCTGAAAAATGATTATAATGTTTCAATCGAAAAAAATGACCGCACTTGGAATGGCTAGACGCAAAAAGGTTTTTTTGAGTTGCGCCCGACCTGAAACGGTTTGCGCGCAATCGGTCATGAACCTTTCCCCGTGCGATCACAGGGTTCCAAATAGTGTTAAGAAAAATTATAATTAATGTTTTAATTCCAATTTTTTTGTTTTTTTCATTGATAAACAATATACATATTCAAAAATAAGGCAAAAAAAGACATTTCTAAACGCTGAAAAAAAGCAAAAAATCCGTAGAAAGGCCAAAAAAAAAAAATGAATTTTCGTCGAAAAAGTCGTGAATATATAGACTTTCTTAAGGTTTCTGAGTGCTTTCCTGATTGTTCCGAAAGCTTTTCGACTGTTTATGCGAAAAAATCTCGCAAATGTTTCAAAATGACTCACGGTTTCGCTGTTATTTGTCTCTTTCTCCTTCTTTTTTCACAGGTTTTTTTCTTTTTTAGCTGAAAAATAAGCTTCTTTCAATTGAATAGAGTTTTTTTTTGAATAATTTGAATCAAAAATAACAGGAAAATGATCGAAATCGTCATAAAATTACCTTTTTTTCAAGCTTGAAGTTTTCAGATAGATTCTGGAAAAAAACTTGGGAAAAAGTTTTTTTGAAATTTCTCATTAAGAATCCCAGTAAAGCTACTGTTTCCGAAAAAAATTGCTCTTAATAAGTTTTTTTAAATTTATTTTTTTACATACAAATAATGAAAAAAATGTAAAAAAAAATTTTTTTACACGCTTTTTGAGACTTTTTCTGCGTCATAAGTAAAGTTCAAAATTTTTCAAAAATTATCTGCATTTTTTTGAAAATTTGGAAAAAAATTATATCTGCACTTCAAGTAATTCCTCAGAAAAAAATTACACTTTCTCCCATATAAATTTTTTTATTTTTAACTTTTTTTAGATCAACTGTGAAAATGAAAAAAAGAAGACCTGCCCCATCCAGGCCTGACCATTGAGGTAAAATTTGAGAAAATTCAAAAAAAGTCCATTCTTCGCGAATTGAAATTTCTCTGCGCCCTCCATTTCTCATGGCGACTCTCTCATGTTTTCATGCTGTTTTCTTTTTCTCTGATCTCGCCGGTGAGGGAACAGAGAGACGCAGACAGTCAAAAAATTTCCAGTCGGATAAAACCTACTATTTTCCATTCCTTTTGATCATAATTATCATATTCACATTCAGCAAGTCGAAAAAATCGTGGCAAAGGAAGAAAAACTGATGTCGGTGGTAAAAATGCGCGTCCGTTTCCTGGAAGATTCCCTGGAACGTCTTATACATCGTCATCAAGAAAAAATCGATAAAATCCTGAAAGTATCGATTAAAGACGTGCTTCACGCCAAGGATCGTGATTGATAGAGAAATCAGCCTGATAAATGAATTTTTACGCATTTTTTGTAGTACGATGTCAAATTTTCATTTTTTCCACCGCCGGTTTTTGCGCAGAGAGACTCGGAGTTTAAAAAATCTGCCGAAGTTTAAAAAATCTGGTTTTTTGACTCTTGCTATTTTTCTACCGGAGATCACCACGGCCTGAATCTCCAAATCTGAGTGGCCGGTGGTTTCCAAATACCTCTTTTTCCTACAGTTTTTATCAAATTGACCGCATGGACTAACCTTCCAAATCTGAGCGGCCGTGTTTTCCAAATAACTCTTTTTCCTTACAGTCTTCATTAAAGTGACCGCGTGGCCTAACTTTCCAAATTCAAGCTGTCGTGATTCCCATACATGCGTCTTTCCTTACAAAAATGTGCAATAAAGGGGCACGTGGCCTAGCTTTCCAAAACAAAATGGCCGTGGTTTCTGAACCTGTCTAATTCCTCAAAATCTGCTTCAAAGTGATTGCGTAGTCTAATTTCCCAAACACAAGCGGCCGTAGTTTCCAAATAAATTTTTTTCTCACAATCTGCATCAAAATGAACACGCGGCCTTACTTTCTGATTCTAAGCGGCCACGGTTTTCAAACACGCGTATTTCCTCACAGCCTATTTCAAAGTAGCCACGCGTCCTAACTTTCCAAATCCCAGCGGCCGCGGTTTCTGAATTCGTCCGATTCCTTAAAATCTGCTACAAAGTTATCGGGTGGCCTAGTTTTCCAAACCCAAACGGCCGTAGTTTTCAAATACATTTTTTCTCATAACTGAGCGAAAATGAACGCTTTTATCAAGGCCTAATTTTCCAAATCAAAGCGGTCGTGAATTCCAAATACCACAACCGCTCAAAAAAACCACAGCTTTCAGTTCATTTAGAGTGACCTAACTTTCCAAATGCTCTTTTTGATTCCGTTTCTCCTTTCATTCACACAAAGATGACAAAAAGAAGGAAGTTCACCGTGACATCAATGAGAGATATTTCAAAAATCGGACCAGACAGGCGGATTTTCCCGACAGAGACAGAAAAATAATTGGGCCGGTTCCACCGTTTAGTGATGACGATCTATGTGGATCGACTATAAAAGGAGCCTTTTACCCATTCAGTTTCGATTTGGAAACTTTTTAGTTTTTCACTGAAACTTTTCGAGAAATGGCCTCTTCTTCGATCCTCGTCCTTCTGGTCGCTGTCTGCGTCGCCGTCTTGGCCGATCAGCCGAACTTTAAAGGTTTTCAGCTTGGAAATTATTCAGTAAGCTTGAATGAGTTATCCGAACAATGTCTCTCTAGAGAAGAACTCTTTGAATAGTTTTCTCATTTTTTTTTTCTCTTTTTATGAAACTTCTAGTTTCTGTAGTACCACTTAAATACATGCTTCTAAAAAGGATATTCTCAAAAATCTTAATATGCGAGGATGAAACGTAGCGGTTCTTTCAATTTGCAACCGACCCGAAACTGTTTGCGCTCTGGAGCATCAGTAATAATTATAGTAAGCTTTGGTTAGTGGCGTGAACTCGAACCGCGACGCTTTAATCCATTCCAAATGCCTCCATAAGCTTCGAATTTCAAGTCCAATAAGGTATTAAACCCCTTTTTTCGTAAGGAAGCGTGAAATTTAGGTTTTAAAGGAAAGAAACTTGAGAAATCTGGAGACGGAGCTTTATCGAATATAAGGAAGTTCCCTGCTTCAGTTTGATATTTTCAAAAAACTGACTTTCTTCATGATTTTTTTATATAACCCCCAACTTAGTAGCTATCTTCATAGACGTTCCTCTACAGTATCCAAAAAAAAAGCTTCAGAAATGGCCGAGAAGGGCCTGAAGGAGTCCGGCGTCTCCGAGTCGACCATCGAAGGTCTTGAGAAGATCAGCGAGAAGCACGAGGTTCATTTTGCTACCTTTTACCATTTGAATGAGTTTGAGAATTGCAGGAAGCCCTGAAGGCCGCCAAGGGCAACCCAGAAGCCGGAAAAGTCGCCATCGAGGCTTTGAAGGCCGACGTCGACGCCTACATCGCCACCGTCTCCGCTGAAGACCAGGTGTGGGATTCGTCATGAATGTCGCCTTTGGAATGGCTCGCTGTGTCCCGGCGACCGACTCGAAACGACTTGCGCGCTGGGGTATCTTAAAGCCCCATTTTCCAACCGCAAAGCGAACACCACATATCGAGCCATTCCAAATGCGACCAACAGTTTTTTGACGCAGTTTTTAATTATAAGACATCGGGTAGACTTTGAAAATAATTATTTTTGAGCAAGTTTCATTTTTGCAACGTTAAATGGCCTAATTTGGCATTTTTGGCTCAATTTTTCACTTTTTGAAAGTTTTCCCAATAGGAAAAGGACGTGTAAAACTGTAAAAAAAATAAGAAAAAAACGAATATTTAATAAAAAAATCGACATTTCAGGCCGCTTTCAAAACTTTCCAAGAAAAGGTCAAGGCCCACATCGCCGAGCACGCCCACGAGCACCACGGCCCTCAATAAACAAATTTATTATCGATTGTTTTTTTATAAATGGATTGCAATGAATTTTTCGATTTATATTGTTTTTGGGCCAACTTTGATAAGGAAAAAATTTTTCAAGAAGGGGTCGAAAAAATAAAACAATAAAGGTTGAACTCAAACTATGTTCTTTTTCGACCAAAGAAATGACAAAACCAGATCTGAATCATAGTTTCTAGCGAAAATCATGAAAAAAGGAAAGAAAGAAAAATCGCATGAGCAAACTAGATACAGAGAGATTTGCCGCGATTATTATTATTTGTTGAATTTTTTTTTTCTTGAAGTTTTTTTAACGAGTTTTTGAGGTCAGGAAAGGAAGATTTTTATTGGAAGGTATTTTTAAATAATGATAAAAAGGTGAAAAAGATACTATTCAAGAATCTGCACCAGCCAAAAAAAGTAGATCCAAAAATTTTTTTAACCATCGAAAAAAATAAAAAAATTAAAGTTTTTTTCTTCATTTTGCTGTTTCAATTTTAGTACTTTTTTTGGGATTTATTGGCTTTCAGGAATAAAAAAATGGAATCTGTTTGGATAACATGGAAAACGTTTTTTTGACATAAAAAAAGGTGTGGAAATCGAGCATTAAAAAATCAAAAAAACAGGAAAATCATTTAAAATTACATTTTTTTGAGCTTTCTAATTTTTCTTTTAAAATTATTTCAAAAAAATCTTTTGGTATTCTTAAAATAAATAAAGTATCCTTTTTTCGCATGTTATTGATTTGGTTGATTTTTCAAGCATGCTAGCTATAAATTGTAAAAATGCTAAAAATCACGTTTTTCATATTTATTTGAAAACAAAGAAGACGTGTACGAAGATCAAAAGATGGAAAAATCGAAAATTCCGGAGATTTTACTCAAGAAGCGTCAACACCTCAAGGGCTCAATGTTCAGGAATGACAAATAGGGAAGAAAAAGTGACAATAACTCTGAAAATCGAATATAGCTCTCTGAAAAAACGTGATTTGTATCCCTCTGTGTAGACCAACAGGATACTTTTGGAGAAAATCGAAATGTGAGCATGTTTTGATCCATAATCCCCATGCAGTCACAAAATCTGACTCACAAATGTTTGGGCCAGACCAATTATCCTAGGCTGTGTAAATATGTAAACGGTAAAACGATTATAAAAAGGGCGGGTGGGTATATAAAAGCATACGGAATATCCAGATAAACCGAAAAAGTCTGAAAATGTTCAAGGCTTCTACTTTCGTCGCCTTTCTTGTCTTCGTTTCTTTTGCTTCCGCTTTGGATGATGAGCAACGTGAGTTTCAGTACTGATCCGCTAAAAAAATTCAACTTGCCTACCTCATTCGGAAGAGTTTTGAAAACACATAATGTTAGAATTTTAATGAAATTTGGCTTGTTGATATGCTCAGATACTCCAAAGTGGTAACGATAGGGGCAATCTCATGGGGCTCTTGGGTCCCCTCTAGGGACAACCTTACTTCCGGAGCCATGAAAGCATGCAAAACTGGTACCTTTAGGGGCTTAGAGACCACCTAAATTTTACTTTTGTAAAGGTTTTTTTTTGTACCTTTTTAGTGCTGTTTTCCCCTAAGCGCAAGAGGGACCGCTCTGAAGTACCCAAGTAAATTTTTAAAAATCCGAGTATAAGAACCCTTGTGGGTATAAGAGCTCAAACGTATTTGAATCAAAAACTTTATTTAGAGCCCGAGAATAAGCAGTTTTTCATCCAATAATCTTGTCAAAAGTAAATTAGGTATATCTGAAAAACCATAAAAAATAATTATTTCAGAAGCCGTTGTCCAAGCGATGAAAGACGCCGCCCTTTCTGACGCCGCGATTCAAGGTCTCAGCAAAATCGGAGCTCAACATGAGGTACGAAAAACGAAAAAGCTCAACTATTTTTTTTTCAGGACGCCATGAAAGACCTTCAAGCGCACCCGGAAAATTCGATCGAAGCCATCAAATCGCTCAACGACGACATCAACGACTTCATGTCATCTGCTACGGAATCCGATCGGACTGCCTGGAAGGCCTTTGAAGCCAAGATGGCGAGCAACACCGGCGAGGTCTTCAACAAGGCCATGAGAGACGCCGGTATTTCCGAGCCCACGATCGCCGAACTCACCAAGATTGGTCAACAGCATGCGGTATTTCTTCTAGAAAATTTTTGATCTAGAATCTATTTAGGGTGCCCTGAACTCCGCCCAAGGAAATGCTGAAGCGACAAAAGCCGCCTTCGAAGCTTTGAATGCTGATATCCAGAAATACATCGTCACGACTTCCGCGGAAGACCAGGCCGCGTGGAAACAATACGAACAAAAGCTCAAGACTGCCTTTGGAATCAAACAGGCTAACTAACTCTGAATAGTTCCATATTAATAAATAAACTAATCATTGCTCCGTTTCAAAACAATTTTTTATTTTTCACACCGAAAAACGTAAAGTGAAGTTTTTTTCAAAAACGCAAACTGAAATGAAAAATTCAATTCCAAAATATCACTACCCTTCACGGCGTTTTCGTTAGTCGAAGAAAAATGCGAAACTAAAAAAGAAGGGGGCATGGTCAAAAACTGCGCCATTTCCATGTGACGTCACGGAAAACAAGAGTAAAAAACGAAATATTAAAGGCGCATGCTCAATGGATCCTGAAACGAATCGATTTATCATTTGAAGAAATTTTCTGTTTAATTATTTTTTTTTAAAGCCGCCGTGTTCAAAGTGGTAGCGCGAATTCAAAACAGAGAGTGAAAATTCGAAAATGATTTCGCGAAAATTACTTTGAACACGGCATTGGCGAGCACCGCAGTGCATGCACATGACACACTAGACTTTACGAAAAAAAAAATAGAGGCGTCGTCAAAAAAACGCCGTGCCTTACAATAACGTAAGAAGACAAAAAAAAATGCAAACTGGATAATTTTTCAAGGCGGCGGATGATAAGGTCCGAAAAAATAGTATTTTCTTGCTGATTTCAAAAATACTCCATTCGCCAGATAACATCGTCTTTTTGACCTGAAAAAGCAGGTGTGAAAATATCAACACCCTCACAATAATGACCTTATTTCGATTTGAAATGTCGAAGTTCCTGTCTTTGTCCCTTGGCCAAAAAAATGTTTTTCTAAGTTAGACAAGTGCTCCACGGAAAAGTTTATCACGAATTTCAAATCTAGGTAGCTTTGGTCCCAAAAGAAGACTTCATGTTCTTCTCGTAGTTCTCCCAGGCGGCCTGATCAGCAGCGGAAGTTCCGGAAATGTAATGCTTGACTTCCGACTTCAAAGCGTCGAACGCAGCTTTCAAGCCCACCAAATCTCCTCGCGTGGCTTTCAGAGCTGCCTAGATCCTTGAAACTAATTTTTAAGATCCTGAAGACCTACCTCATGCTTTTTCTCAATCTTCAGAACTCCATCGATCGTTGCCTGAGAAATGCCGGCTTTTTTCATGTCCTTGGCGAAAAAGTCGCCGTAGTTGCTTGCCATCTTCTCTTCGAAGACTTTGTACGCCTTCTGGTCGGATTTAGAAGCGGTGGACAAGAACTTTTGAATGGCGGAGTTGAGGGATTTGACGGCGTCGGCCGGGTTGGCTAATTGGCCTTGAAGGGCTTGCAGGGCTTCCTAAGCAATAGGTCAAAATTCAAGACATTTTTTTGAAAGTAAGGAGTTCAGATTTTTATCATTCCTTTCATTTCAAAGTTTAATAAATGAATCATCATTCTTAATGAAAAATATTTAATCGATAACATGGTACAGTTATTATATTAACCTCATGCTCAGTTCCAATCTTGCTGATCGCCTGAATCGCGGATGGAGAAAGGCCCGCGTCCTTCATCGCATTGATAATGGATTCTGAAATCTGACGCATTCCATAAATTTCATAGTTTATTGACGTAGCGCAACATGGTGAGTGCCTTATTACGGTCCACAGGGTTACAAGTTCGATCCCGGCCAAGGGGTTTGAGAAATGTTGGTAGCAACCATGACTTCAAAACCCCCAGGCGTTACACTCAAGGGCGGATGTTTCACTAAAGCCAGTCCACTGATATCAGGATAGGACATCAGCTGATCGGCTTGGGGCGCCGACGCCGCTCAAGCGGCACACGGCATTCCTAATGGGGTGAAAGAAGGTGAACAAGGCGTCAAGGTTTCTGAATTTCCAAAAATAGGATAGTGCACGCTCAGGAAAAGTTGACGTCATAATTACACTGAGTATTAAACGCTAATAACTCGTTTGTTCGATCGCCTTTGGCTGCGTACTTGAGATTTCAAACGTCGCGCAAAACTATTTTTTGACGTCTTCCCACCCCGTTTGAGAACGTCGGGCAGTACAAAGAAAGGAAAAGGTTTTTTGGAGTTCTTGAAGGATCGTAGACTATTTTCGATCTTTTCAAGATGACTCGTTGTCAACACGATTTTCAAAATGAGCTATCCAGTCCGTTTTTGGCGACTTAAAATAATTCTTCTCGTTTCTCGGCGACTATCTCATGTTGACGCGCTATTTCGATCTTTCGGCAATAAGGGAACAGAGAGACGCAAACAGTCGGATACTGTCAATCGAACGGATTTTTGAGAAACTCACGATGAGAAGAATCCAAAGCCGAAGCCGCGGTAGAAAAAGCAAGTAGGGCGATCAAAGTATACATATCGAACTTTTCCCTCTGATCGTTATACTATGCCAGCTTTTATACGAGCTTGTACGATTTTTCCTGACCGTGGGGCTTTTCCCACGATTTTTGTTTTTAATCGAACGCAAAGGAGTTTATGATTCATCCTTTAAAGAAGAAAAGTTAAAACGGTTATGAATCAATAAAAGGCCTCTAAAAAGTGCGAAAATTGGGTGACAGACAATATTGAGCTTGGAATCGATTTTTTGGCGGGGGTATCATATACCGAACTGTTTATCAAAACGTGATGTAGCTTATTCCGCGCCAGCTTTTGACGTTTTTCTTCTCGCCAAAAATACCGTATACCAGATCAGATCAAAATTGAGCGTCTTCGCCTCAAGACCTTCGTTTTTTTCTATCTTAGAATTTTTGTGGAGCGAAAATTTCCATTTAGGGTAGCCTTCTCTTTTTAGGTGCTTCTAAAACATGACCGCCTTCACTCACTATAGTACTATCTTAATGTCTAGTTCAAAATAAACAACTTTGAGCCCTTCTCGGAAATGATAAAGATCCCTGTGAGTACGGTTAAGTATTTTTCAAAAAATAGTCGATCCCGCTTTGAGACAAATACAGAAAAAAACAATCAAAGTTCATTCGTCTTAGTTAAGCGCCTTTTTGGCCTGAATGTTTTGTTGGTAGCCTTTCCAAGCAGCCTGATCAGCTGAAGAAGCCGTGGCGATGTAGGCCTCGATGTCAGCCTTCAGAGCTTCTAAACTAGCTTCCAAGGCTTCTGGGTCATTTGAAGCGGCTTTCAGCTCGACCTGCATTTTTAAAAATCAACTAAAATCAGAAAAACTTCTGAAGACCTCATGTTGCTCTCCGATTTTGATGATATCTTCAATCGCCGATCTGGAAACACCAGCTCCCCTCATGGCTTTTTTGTAGCCATCGACGTATTTTCTTATCATCTTGGCTTCGAAAACCTTCCAAGCTTCTTGATCATATTCCGAAGCCGTCAGTAGGAATTTATTGACGTCGTCTTTGAGCGAGTTTATGCCTTTAACGTCATTGGCTGGGTTGGTTTGCAGGGCTTTCAGTGCGTTCTAAAATGCTGAATATAAAAACAAATGCTTCTTGAGAACTTGAACTTCATGCTGAGCTGCAATCATGATGATGGAGACGACAGCGTTTTCAGAAAAACCCGAGTCCATTAGCAACTGGCGGGAAGTTTCTGGAAGATTGTTTTTCTATGAAGTTCGTATTCTTCTCCGTCTTTTCACTACTGCTCTTCTGTTATCTTGTTATCCTTCACTTTTCATAAGATGACTAAATGGACCTACCATCCTTCATCGGGTCATAAGAAATTTCAGAAGGAACTTAGGAAGGGGCAGCTTTTGATGCTAACTTAATGGGAATAATGAACTTCTACGGCAACTTTTCATAAGATGACTAAATGGACCTACCATCGAAACCATCTTGGCCAAAAGCCAAGAAGAATAAAACAGGAAGTGTAATTAGAAAAGAAATGCGCCCCATAAAAAGGCAATTTTTGTCTCTGACAGTATCCCAGTTTATGTACCAACGAAAATTCTTTTTTTTCGTATTGTAACAGCCTGAGAGTTTGCGCTAGACGTGGCCTGGTTGTACTGTAGAACTTGAAGCGTTTTTTGAATTCTTCTTGGTAAACTATTTACTTAGGCCAGATCGCAACATGGACAGGCTATATCAATGTCGATTTTTTGATCGTTTGTGCTGGAACGGCTACAAGGAGAACTGGCGGCGCAGTAGCGGAAAACCATATTTCGGTCGAAATTTTTGGGGAAGCTTTTTTTGTACGCTTACACGTACATCAACCAGAAAATCTACACTTAGGTTTCCATCATTATCTTCAATTTGAGCCCAAGTTTATGGTGAAACGATACAGAAGCTATCAAATAATGAAAACCCACGATCGAAAGCATCTTGAGCAAAAGCCAAGGATGCGACGGAAAGAAGAACAACTAAACGTGAAGTGTTAAACATGACAAGAAGGCTTTTCCCGCCGGTCGAGATGATCTTCCGATTTATATATAACTACCAAGCTAAACAGTTTACATTGTTAAAACAGCCGCAGCTTTGTTTGCTCAAAAATCGGTTCGAATGGCCTCTTGTTTCATTTTTGAAAGGCTGTTTTTTCGCTCGGATCTTTGAGATCACTTTTTAGGGGCAATTTCAAACTTACCATCTGTTGTTTCGAAAAATTTTATTTTCAGCTTTCGCCTCAACCAGTTTACAGAAAAAAAAACATGAAGATTTCACAGGGGGTTTTCCGAAAATGTCAGGCACGGTCTTGAATTCTTCTTGTTCAGTAAGGATTAAGGTCTTCTCAAAATATTTTTAAGTATATCTGCATCATTAAAAATCTTGAACTGTATTATTATTCGTATTGAATAAATGATGATGATGATGATTATTGACTCTGGGGATAAAACATTAACTACAAATAGAACAAAGAGTAATCATTGAAAAAATTATTTTTTCAGAAAATTGGCTGCCCGATCGTCGGAAAGGTCCATGGCATTCCTTTCGTAGACCCTCCACGCCACCTGATCATCAACAGAAGCCGTCAGGATAAAAGCTTCGATTCCAGCTTTCAGAGACATCAAGGCAGCCTTGAAGGCGTCAGGGTTTTCTTCGGCGGCTATCAGATCGTCCTGAATGTCTAGAGTAAAAAGTTGAAGATTGCGATATTTTCAGAGGCATATATAGTAAGATGTACACTATCAATTTTTTGTCATAGTTTTTTCGAGGAGTTGTCTAATTATTATCAAGCCTTCTACAGTCTTTTCCAAAAAAATTTGTTGATTTTTGGGTTCTGGTAACATAATAGGAAAAGGAGCTATCGAACTAACTTTTTTGTGATTACGAACAGAATCACTAGAAAATAACTGTAGAGGGTACGAAAATCATTACACGACTCTTCAAAAAAGTTTTGACAAAAAATGGGGAATCGAATACCGTACAGGTTTGGGGTTGAGACGGAATCAGTATGTAGTAGAGCTTTTCCATGTCTATCAAACTGTTTTGGATCGGTTTTCACAGAACGGTTTACAGTAACCTCGTCCTGTACGCAAAGCGAAACATACCTCATGTTTCTT